ACATCATTAGAAATGGGCTAGTCCAGGTGCGAGAATTAGCCTGTAAGGGCTAGAGTTCAGGGGCCAAGCAGTTCTTAAATGAATACAGTTTGTGTGTTGTTATTTCGGGTGTGAGCTAGCCAAGCGGCCGGGGTGTTGGGGACACAGCCCCGCCGCTCTTATTTCAACAGTGGAGGCAGGGGGATCAGGAATTCAAGTCATCTTCAACTACTTACAGAATCTGAAGCCAGCTGGGCATGGTGCCACACGCCTTTACTCCCAACACTCAGGAGACAGAGGCAGGCAGACCTCGGAGTTTGAGGCCAGCCAGGGCTATAAGATGCCATCTCAGAAGAGGTCACAAGTAGATACCAAGCTAGGCGATCAACTCATCGCCTTGCAGACAAAGACAGAAAGAAGGGACGAATGAGCTCAGGGAGCCCAAAACATCCTCACTTGAGGCTGATAGCAAGACAAGGGCAAAGGGTTGCCGTAGTCGAAAGAAGCATGCCTGGGGGCTGGTCCATGGGTCCCTCCACTTGGACCCAAGAGGAAATGGTATCTGGAAAAAGGATACCCAGACAAAAGGCAAGACTGAGCGCCAATATGTCTCCAACTAAACATTAAAAAGAAAACTTGAGAATAAATGGCAGAGTCATGCTGAATCCTAAATAATATATATATATATGTATATGTATGGATACACACAGACCACACACACACATATACACACGTGTATACATATACATACATACACACATGTATACATACACACATATACACACATGTATACATATACACATACACACCCACATATATACACACGTGTATACACACATACACACATGTATACATATACACATGTATACATATACACACATACACACCCACATATATATACATACATGTGTATACATATATATACATACACACCCACACATATCATGCCCTTCTAACAAATGGGGGCATATGTAAAGCAAGTACAGAACAATGCAAGAGCTGGAAGCTATGGACCGTGGCTCTGAGATGCCATCTTCTGGCTAAGACACAGCTGGTGCAATCTGGAAGTCAGGCAGACACCACTGCCGCCTGTGCAGGGTCTGCACAAGGGTGGGTCTGTCAAGAATCGGGCTGTGGTGGCACATGCCTTCAATCCCAGAACCTCAGAGGTAGAGGCAGGTGACTTCTGAACATAGTTAAATTCTGGGTCAGCTAGGGCTACGGAGTGAGACCCTGTCAAAGAAGAAAGAAGAGGAGGAGGAAGAAGGAAGAGGAAGAAGAAGGAAGAGAAAGGAAGAGGAGAAAAGGCAGTAGTAGTCAGGCAGAGGGAGGTGGAGGAGGGGTTAAAGGTGGGTGGGCCATCTTCACCACCCAACTCTTTGTTACTGGTAGGTGCAGAAGAGGGGAATCTTTGCCTTCCGTTGTGTATCCACTGGTGACCCTGCCAGGCTCCAGTGGGTAGTTCCAGTCCAGGTCTCACACAGATGGTCACAATGGGACACAAAGCCAAAATCCTGAATCCGAGCACAGGACAGGTCGGAAGGAGTGGGGGGTTGACTGAGATGAGAGCGATGAGGGTCGGGAGAGTAAGGAGAGAGTACATCACCATAAAAAAAAAAAAGAGCTAAAGATGATGCTTTGTACAGAGACAAGCATGCACACACACACAAGCAAGCATACGTGCACACACACATACAGCCAAGCATGTACACAAGGCAAAGATGCACAAGCAAATATACACACTCACAGGCAAGTATGCACACACACACACACACAGCCAAGCATGTACCCACAGGTGAGCATGTACACACAGGCAAGCATGCACACACATAGGCAAGCATGAACACACACGTGCACTCACATGAGCACAAATGCACACTCTCCGTTAGCCTCAATGCCAGAATCTGAGGGTGAAAAATCAAGAAAGAGTGGCCTAGGGTATCCTGATGTCAGAAATATCAGGGTAGCAGAGAGTGCACTGGGAAGAGCTGGCACAGGAGGAACAAGGCTGACATCCCAGCACTCCTAGACTGCCAGAAAGCATGTGCAGCTATGATTCTGATGAGTTTAAAAAGGAGAGATATCCAAGTTTGGGGTCAGCAAGATGGTTCAACAAGTGGAGGCATTTGCCACCAAACCCGATGACCCAAATTTGATGCGCCCACATGGTGGAAAAGAACTGGCTCCCCTTGGTTGTCCTTTGACCTCCACACAGGTGCTAAGAGACATGAGTGTGTGTCTATGAGCACATACACAGAGGACAAAAAAATAATCAGGTTTGCTATTACTAGCATACTAGTATTTTCCAGTTAATACATAGATTATTACTTATCTGGAGCTGGTGAGATGGCTTATCAGTTGGGGGAGCCCAGCATCCACATCAGGTGGCTCACAACCACCAGTAACTCCAGAAGATCCAACCCTGCTTCTGGCCACTGCTGGAACTTATAACCCATATGCATACACAAAATAACTTTTTACTAATAAATACTAATGTGTGTGTGCACATGAGTGCAACTTTCAGGAACATGTTCTCCTTTCTCATGGGCTCCAGGGACAGAACTCAGGTCATGGGGCTTGACTGGCAAGTGTTAGTTATACAGGCTAAGTGTCTATGGTCGTTTATCAATAGAGTGTAGCTCCCATATCAGCACAGGAACCGTACATCTCAAAGATCGTCATTTCACTTAGATATATTCATTTAAAATTCACTCTTTTATTATTTATTTAGTGTGTGTGTGCCTATGTGTAAGCACAGGCATGCTACAGTACACATGCAGAGGGTCAGAGGGCAACTGCAGGAATCAGTTCTGTCCTTCAGACCTGTGGATCACGGAGACTCAACTCAGGTTCTCCTTTGCGCAGTGAGCCATCTTGCCGGTATGAATTAAACTTGCTTCTGGCCGATGAGATGGTTCGGGATGTACAAGCGCTTGACAAGCAAGCCTGATGCCCAGGACCCACATAAAGGGGAAGGAGAGAACCAATCCTACAAAATGCCTGTCCTTTGACCTCCATGTGTGCACTGTGACACTTGTGCCCACACGTGTCTGTCATGTACACGTACAAGTTCAGATACCACAGCTCATCCAGCTTAGTAAGTGCATGTCTGTCAATGAAATCAAGATGGATTCACTTACTAGGAATTATCTGCGACGTTTTACATGTGTGCAAATGTAGTATAGGTATGTGGTTTATGTGTGCAGCTATGTTTACAAGGACAGAGACAGGAGAAAGAAGGGGTTCCTGCTTTATCATCCCACACCTTGTTCCATCGAGACAGGATCTCCACTGGATCTTGTGACTGGAGAGCAACCCCCAGCAAGACGCAGTGATCCTCCTGCCTCCACTCCATGGCACTGTGGCTGCAGAGCTGCAGATGGCCACACCTGGCTTGTTATCCGTATGGGGGTTCAAACCCAGGCCATGCTTTCATAGCATGCGCCCTTAATTTTTAAAACGTGATTCATTCTTATTTTAATGAATTGGTGTTTTGCCTGCCTGTATGCATGTCTGTTTGAAGGCATCAGATTCCCTGGAACTGGAGTTACAGACCGTTATGAGCTGACATATCGGCACTGGGAATTGAACCTGGATTCTCTGACAGAACAGCAAGTGCCCTTAACTGCTGAGCCACCTCTCCAGCCCAAGCACACGCTGACTCACTGAGCCCCCTCTAGCCTCCCGTGCCGGTTTTCTCGTCAGCGAAATCTCCCTGTTAGCACAAGTGTAATCACCGTCAAGGCTTTATACTTTAAGGGGGATGGAGATGTCTCCCAAAGGAGAGATGAAGGTACGATTATTGCTTATATTTATAGCTGTGTTTCCCAGCCCATGGGATTCACTAAGGTAACGCTTGTGTGATGTCGGCACAGCTGCTAAAAATAACGACTACCTGCTAATTCCTTTCCACGAGCATTCCGCGTGGCAGCACGCAGGCAAAAGCGTAAAATCCTGAAAAGTGTATTTTATTTTATTTTTTTTATTATTATTTACTCAAAAAGGCCCATGGTTCTTTGGAAGTGACAGATGAGTTTCCAGGGATCAGACCTTAGTGCCCACAACCTCTGTCAAACTGTCCACGCGAGGGGCTCCCGCTCTCCCCACCCAGATTCACATGCGGCACCTAAACATGACATGTTCACTTCTGAAAAATGGGAGGAGTGTGTGCGCTCAGGGTAGGCTGCTGCCCCAGTGTCCCCTTGCCCATGACGCAAGAGTAGCCTCGAGCCTGTGGGACCTGACTTACCTTAGCACCACCAGAACGGCCTGCCAGGGAGCTACAGGCCATGGTCCTTCTGGGCCTCCCCTCTTTTACCTGTATAATTGGGAGGTACTGGGTCTCTGGAGAGGGAGCAGGAAGGGCCGGGGCTGGCACTGGCTTTATGTTCTGGGACATAATTCGAACTGGTCACAGTTTTCAGAAGAAAAAGAATAGGACTGCCCGGCCTCTGCTGGTGGAGTGGAGAGGGACCCAGAGATACAGCTGGTGGTACAGGGGGCGACCAGAAGATATGAAAATGACCTGGTCAGAAAAAGCAAGCCCACTACAGAGTACAGGCCTGCATTTCCCCCAAAGAAAGTTCCCTCACCAAATAGGGTGCTGAGGAGAGAGAGCCTGCAGCCAGCACCTGGCTGGCATTTAAGTACGAAGAGAACAGCACCCACTTTCGCTTTGAAGGCCAGGGAGCTTGGCTCAGCCTGTCTGGCCCAAGTGAAGTTCATCTTTTTAATTCTGCTTCCAAGTTGCCAAAGTTTATTTTTAAAAAGAAAGAAAAGAATCCTCCCACACACACACACTATTATCAGAGCTTAGATTTTTCTGTGTACTTCTAAACTGATAAGAACTGTCAAGGTTCTTACCAGAGACCTCGTTCTAAAACCTAAGAAAATAAGATATTAATTTTTTTTCTTTTTGAGACAGGGTCTTGCTGGGTAGCCCAGGCTGGCCTTGACCTCAGGATACCCTCCCTGCCTTACCCTCCAAAGTGCTGGGACTACAGGCGTGTAAACCATGCAGATCCAAAATGAGGCATTTTAATTTTCAAACAAAAGATGGTTGTGTCCTAAACAGCAGGAGAAGAAGATGCTGTGACAGTATGCTTCCTCGTCATCCCAACTCAGCTGTCTGGGATCTCCAGCACTATGTCCCTAGAGATGGTGCCTGTCATGGTTGGGGGGGGCAGGTCCTCGGAGCTCCTGCTGATGTTAACAGATCTACCACACAAAGGTGTCTTTCTTCTGCCAGCCACCGATGCACAGATATCTGTCCCATTTAAAGAAGTGACCGTGAATGCGGCTGTGGAGAGCGAAGCCAAACTGGAGGAAGCCAGACCGGGGACAGCCTCTGGCGTGCAGCGCGGTCCACTCTGCGCTCCGCCGCGGGCGCCCAGCTCACAGCAAGCAGCAACGCTCTTTGAAACTCTTCTTGCTCTTGCTGCTCTTCCTGCCGTTCTTGTCCTTGTTCTCCGACATCTTCTTTGCTCGGATTTCTCTCATCAGATCAAAGAACACCTGGCAGCAGGAGGAAGGGAGGACAGAATAAAGAGGGAGAGCCATTTAGTCACTGGAAAGCAGCTCAGTTGGCAGGAAACACACTGAGATTTTATGGCACAAAGCCCGAACATGCAGCCATTCATTCGTTTGTTCTCTGAGTCAGGGACTCCTGTAGCACAGGCTGGCCTCCAACTGACTGCGGGGCCAGGAGCTCCAGAGCCTCCCAGGGTGGTCACGTGGCACTGGCAAGGGAAGTCAGGGGCAACAGTTCTACCAGCTGAGTCCACCCCCAGCTACCAAGCTTACTTTTACGAGCCTGCTCCATTAAAACAAAGTATCAACAATAAGTAAACAAACAAATGAAGCAGCTACAGCGATAAAAATCAGCTTTGGTGAAACAGCCCTTCTCCATTCCGCACAGCTGTCAGCAGGGACAGGACGAGGCTGTCGCCGCCCTTCAGAGCTGAACACTGTGAGGGTAAAAGATGCTTCTGCGGAGAACAGATCTAGAATGGAGGCATTGGGCATAAACGTCTGGAGGGCAGCGGGCACCTGTGGGTCTACTCCCATTTCCAGAAACGCTAACACGCATGCGAGATGGCTCATCAGTTAGAGTCCCTTGCCACCAAGTCTGATGACCTGAGTTCCGCAGTTGAGACACACATGGGGACAGAAGGTTCTGGTTCCCACAAGTTGTCTTCTGACACCATGTATACAACAGCATGGATAGACACACACACACATGCATGCACACTACAAGTTGTCTTCCGACTCCATGCATATGGCAGCATGAATAGGCACACACACACACACACACACACACACACACACACACACACGAATGAACATTTGATGACAAGGGCTAGAATGCCTTTGTAAGTGACAGCCCCTCCCCAAACCCTACTCTAAAAAAGTGGCCAGGGGCAAATCTGAGAAAGCAAGGGGATGGGAAGTAGGAAGGCAGGCTTCACTGGAGAGCTGGGGAGGACAGGGAAAGAGAAGTCTCATCACAGAATTCCTCCTCACCTTCCCCTACACCCAGCCCCACACCTCCCCCCCCACCCGCCCCTTCACCCCACTGCCAAGAGGAATTTTATCATGAAAGACAAGCAGGCCTTATCGCTGGCCCATGAGGTTTGGGTTTTGCCTTCTGCTACCACAATCACCAAAGGGCTGATTACTCTCGAGCAGACAAAATATCGTGCTGCGAAGACACACTGCAGATTTCCCACAGAAACTGGAAGCGTGACAAGGAACACAGGCTTTTTTATCTCCACCAAGATCTGGTTCTCAGACATAGACCAAGGTGAACAGCAAGCTGAGGGCTAGGGACGTGGCTCGGTTGTCTGAGTACCTGCCTGGCATGTACAAGACCTTAGGAATGATCCCCAGCATGGCATAAACCAGGCCTGGTGGTACAACCTGTAACCCTAGCACTCGGGAGGACAAGAAAATCAGAGTCTTTCTCAGCTGCATACGAGCTGGAGGCCAGCCTAGGATAGATGAGGCCCTGTCATTTTTTTAATAAAGAAAAAATTTAAAAAACAAACAAGAAAGAAAGAAAAACACAAGCCATGCGTGATGCCACCAATCTAGAAAGGTTCAAAATCCAAGGTCATCCTTTACAGAACAAATTTGAGACCAGCCTGGGCTACATGAATTACTGCTTCAAAAACCAAGCAAACCAAGAATGCTTTTCTGGTGTGGCACTCCATATGAGCTTACCACGAGTGCCAGGTACAGGAAGGGAACCCCAAGAGTCTCAGACTGACCTCTACCCCCCCTAAGCTAGCCACAGCCACCAGTCAAAGTGACAGACGTCTGTTTCATCCTATGTTAAAAGGCAGGGGAGATGCGTGGGTGCGTTCAGCTGAAATGCCACCTGCACTCAGCTACAGCCTTTCTGAGGAAATCAGTACTGCCTTTCTGTTAGAAGTCCCGGCTGGGTCGCCTGGCAGGGAAAAGCTCGTCCAGGGAGAGGAGGGGGAGATGATGTATAACACCCCATACACAAGAGACCCCAGAGACTCGAATCTCATCACCTCAAAAGCAACATCAGCATTTTCATGCTGAGAAAGTCTTTCTCTTTTTGTTTTGTTGTTGTTCTTTAGACAAGGTCTCCTTATGTGGATCAGGCTGGTCTTGAATTCAGAGATCCACCTGCTTCTGTCTTGTGAGTACTAGGATCCAAGGCTGACGCCACCATAACCAGACAGCCCTCTTGGGTTGTAGAAAATAAAAGGCATGGGAGGCAGAGACCAGCCAGGACTACATTGGGTGACCATGTCTCTACTGTGTCCCACCTCCTCCCCCGGAGAAGATGGAGGCTACCTGGATGCCCTGTGCTTTCCTCAGCTAGGAGATGATGGGAGGAGAACAGAAGTCACTTCTGAGCATCGCAGGAAGCAGGGGAAAGTTCAGATCAGGATATAAAAAAAAGGCAGGTGCTGGGTGTGGCAGCTGGTGGAGCACTGTCCAGTAGATGCCGAGTCCTGGGTCCCACGCTGACACCATGAATCAGGTGCAGGGCTCCGCACCAGTAATTCTAGTGCTTGTTACACAGAGGGTCATATGAGAGCCTGTCGATAGACAGACAGGCAGATAGGGAGAGAGACAGACAGACGACAGACAGACAGAGCGAGTCAGGGAGATGGCTCAGTGAATAAGGAACTTGCTGCCGAGCCTGGCAACTTGAGTTCAATTCCCTGGGGCCCACATGATGAAGGAGAGAACCCACAGATTGACCTTTGACTTCCACATGTGTGCTGTGGCATACAAGTGCACAGTTGCACACATCCCCCCCCACACACACACCAAGAAACAAATGCAATTTTAAAAGCAAATCATTTCCTAAGACAACAAAAAAGCAGCTGATGAAGAAACACAATTCACTGTGGCCCAGAGGTGCTGTCAACACTGGCCCCTGCTCAAAGCCACGCCCTAGCTGGGCGGTGGTGGTACATGCCTATAATCCCAGCACTTGAGATGGGAGGCGGAGGCAGAGGCAAGCGGATCTCTGAGAGTTCGTGGTCAGCCTGGTCTACAGAGTGAGTTCCAAGACACAGAGAAATCCTGTCTTAGAAAAAAAAAAAAAATGCTAAGCCCTCCTCTCAATGGGACATCTCCTAATGTTCCATTGAGAGTGCTCAGCTCTCCTCCAGAACCAGCTGGGTGAACCTGGGAAGGCATAAAGCAAGGGGAGATGACATCCCACAGCACCAGCCTGGACTATGGTGCGAACTGAGAAGAGGAGACAGAGAAGGGATCTGTAACTAAGAACAACCTGGCACAGACACGGCCTTTCCGCCTGTCGTGGCTCTGCACTGATTTCACAAGTCCAGGACATGAAGCAAGAGCCCACACTATAGCGTGTGAAAACAGAGAGAAGTTCAGCTGTGAGGTGCTTACTTCAAGTGTGTGGTAACACCCTGAACTCTGATGTAAAAGGAGAACACGGGGTGCTCGTGTGCTTGGGTGAAGCCCTGGTTCCCCCCCGTGCCAGCACTGTATAAATGGTGTGGTGGTGCCACTGCAGCAAAGGAGTGTAGGGGTGGGGATGGAAGATCAGAAGTGCAAGGTCCTCCTCAGCTATGCCTGGAACTCTAGGTTAGCCTGTGTGAGACTCTGACAAAAAGAGAGAAAAAGACAGAGAAGAGCAGAAGAGAAAAGAAAAACAGAAAATGACAAACCATCGCGGTGATCGAATGCCAGCACTTGGAGCTGGGGGCATGGTAATCAAACTTCAAGGTCATTCCTGGCTACGTAACCAAGCTTGAGGCCAGACTAGGGTATTAGGAGACACTCAGGAAGAAAGAAGAGAGGGGGAGGCAGAGAAGGAGGAGAGGCGCTGCTGGCTCAGTGGTTAGGAAGACGACCACTCTTGCAGAGGGCCACTACCCACGTCACAACAGCTTCTAGCTCCCAGGACCCATTGCAGACAGTTCACAACCACCTGCAACTTCACTTCCTGGGCTTTCTATGATGTCTTCTGACCTCACTGAGTGCCTATGCTCACGTGGCACACACACACACACACACACACACACACACGCACGTGTGCGCACACTCACACTTAAAACTCAACATCAAGCAAATGAGGCAGATGGCTGGGTCTTCCAAGAACCCCCCCAGAAGCCACGCTACCTTGTCCACATTGGCACGGGTCTTGGCTGATGTCTCCACATATTGCACACCCCACTCCTCGGCTTTGCCCCGGGCCTCATCCACAGGCACTTGCCTCCGCTCCTCCAGGTCAGACTTGTTGCCCACGACCAACAGGGGGATTTTATCCTCCTCGGCCTTGACTCGGAGGATCTGTTCCCTGTGGGTGAGGCGTCAAGAACACGGTGAAGAAAGTCAGAGAGCAGCCAGAGAGATGGTTCAGCAGATAAGGGCGCTCGCCTCCACGCCTGATGTGTGATCCACAAGGTGAGTGCTGAAAATGGCGCCTGCGATTGTCCCCAACCTCCACGCGAGCACCGAGGTGTGACAGTACACACACAGACACACAAAGGTGTTTTGTTTTGTTTTGTTTGAAAGCCAGCATAGCGTAAGAAGTAGCATTACAAGCAGCTGACAGTGTGTCTGGGTGCTTACAAGCACATCTGACAAGCTCGGAAAGGAACGAGAGAAACTGCTCCATTTGGGGAGTATTTCAAATGGGTCTCCACTGGCCTGGGCTTTCCCAGACCGGCCCTCAGCTTCCCACCATCATCTGGTCTCTCTCCATCTGAGGTCTCTCTACCCCACACTCCTACAAAAGAGAAGCCTGCATCCCCACAGGGTTCCTGATTTATGGGGGAAAAGAAAGAGGTGGACAGGGAGGGGAGAAGGAAGGGAAGGAACCCTCTGGACTCTCAGGAATTAAAACAAACTGAAAGGTGCTGGGGTGTGGGCAAGGCAAGCGCTAGCCTTGCACGCACAGAGCCCGACCTAGGTTCCGTCTCCAGTACTCTACAGGCGGGGCATGGGGGCACATGCCTGTAACCCCAGGACTCGGTGGAACCACAAGTTTCAGGGGCATCTCGGCTACATAGTAAGTTTAAGGCTAACCTGGTCTGTATGAGACACTACCTTTAAAAAAAAAAAAAAAGGCAAAACAAAGCAAAAAACCCAGGATCTGAGAGCTGGCTCAGTGATTAAAAGTAACCTGGTTTGATTCCCAGCACCCACGTGGCAGCTCATGACTGTCTTTAACTCCAGTTCCACGGATCTGACGCCCTCTTCTGGACTCGGTGGGCTCTGCAGGGTCCTGTTGCACAGACATATGAGCAAGCAAATCACAGTGGGACCAGGACCTGTCCCTGATGCAAGAGCTGCCTCTTTGGAACCCATTTCCTACGAAGGAACACCTTGCCCAACCTTGATTCTAGGGGGAAGAGCTTGTTCCTGCCTCAGCTTGATGTGCAGCTTTGTTTGGAGACAGAGAAGGAGTGATGGGGAGGGGGCGCGCAGAAGGGAGGGGGGGAGAGGGAACAGGAGGGGAGGGGGGGAACTGTCATTGGCATATAAAATAAATTAAAAAATAAATAAATAAAAAACAAAAATCCCATCAAAGTCAAAGCAACAGCTTACAAAAATGTTTAATAATTCCAATACAGGGACAGTGGAGTAAAAAGGCAGTGTGTGTGTGTGTGTGTGTGTGTGTGTGTGTGTGTGTGTGTGAGTGTGTGTGTGAGAGTGTGTGTGCGCGCCCTCAATGGCCTCAAAAGTCAGACTGTGAAGAGGACACAGTTGTGACCACAAGAGTGCTATCCCCGTAGAAACTTCCTGATAAGATCAAAACACCTGCAAAGGGAGGCAGCTGCTCATGCTAAGACCCCTCTGGCCTTCATATACACATGGAGGTTGCAGGAAACCAGGACCACAAGAACAACTAGAGGTCCTATCGTATCATCTACCTTCTCTACTAGACTGGATGAGTTCAGCCCTTGGCGCCTCCCTGGCTCGCTGAGCGGCCTTCCAAATCCCAGGAACGGTAAGCGTCTCCCTTTACCTCAGTGGGTCACCTGACTTCCTGACAAGAAAGAGCTTGCAGAAGCCTGCAGTCAGGCTAAGTTGACTCAGCCAGGAAGAGGGCCTGGCACCAAGCCTGACTGCCTGAGTTCAAGTCCTGGAACCAACCCACATGGTGGGAGAGAACCAACTTCAAGTCTTCCCCTGACTTCCACATATCCCCTGTAGCACAAGTACACGTATACATGTGAGCACATGTACGTGTGAGCACATGCCTGCACGCGCACTTACACTCACAGGCACACGGTGGCTGGAGAGCTAGCTCAGTGGTCAAGAGCACTAACTGCTCTTCTAGAGGACCCAAGTTCAATTCCCAGCTCACAACCTTTTGTAACTCCAGTCCCAAGGGATTCGATGCCCCTTCTGGCTTCCACAGGCATCAAGCATGTATGTGGTACACAGATATACATGCAGACAAAACATCCATACACAGAAATAAATAAAAATAAAAGTAAGACAGGTGTAGTGGCGCACACCTTTAATCCTAGGACTCTGGTGGCAAGCAGACCTCTGAGTTCAAGGCCAGCCAGATCTACCGAGGGAGTTTGCGGACAGCCAGGGCTCCACAGAGGCCCTGCCTCAAAAAACCAAAACAATCAATCAAACAAACAAATCTTTAAAAAAGATACTTCCAGAAATCTTAAGACATGGATACACAAAGAGATGGAAGCCATGGTGGATGGAAATGTACCGAGACTCAGAAACCCTGTGGCAGAGTTCCTCCTCATCACAGGCCCAGCCGTCTCCAGTCTGCTCAACCCAGGTCCCTGGAAGCCTCAGCCCCCTGGCTGGGGGGTCAAGGATGCAGCTCTCCCCTTCAACGCACCTGAACTCGGCCGTGGCAGTGAAGGACTCGTGCTCGGTGATGGAGAACACAAGCAGAAAGCCTTCTCCGCTGCGGAAGTAGTTGTCTCGGATGGCCGCGTAGTCCTCCTGGCCGGCTGTGTCCAGAATGTCTATCTGGACCTCTTCTCCATCGAGGACCACCTTCTTCCTGTAACTGTCAGCTTTGGTGGGCTCATAGTCTTCTACAAACTGGAGAAGCAGTCAGAAGTAAGGACTACAGCCGGACCCTGAGTCTACATCTGACTCCACATTCCAGACCAGCTTCATACTGGCTGAGAGCCTGGAGTTGTTACATCTTGAAGGGGACACCGAAGGATGCGATCCATCCTTCTGAAGGATGCAATCCATACATCCTTCTGAGACAAGGTCACATTATGCATCTCAGGCTGGTCTTGAACTCCTAGCCTTCCAAATGCTGGAATGACAGACATGCCCACCACACTTGGGAACCCTTCCTTTCTCTACTCTAATAGGCGTAGACAGCCCCATTTGCGGAGGAGAACGCCAAGCATCAAGCAGCACTCTTGGTGACATTACTGTCAATACAGTGTAATGTATAACACAAACAATGGAAAAGGTGAGACATGGAAGCCTGGATTCATAATGGACAGAAGTATAAAAATAATCCCAAAGGAATTTGGCAAGGAGAACCAGAAGCTTAGAATAAAACCAACGGCGGGGGGCGGGAAGGGTAGAAGATGGTGTTGAGCCCCACGTAAACGTTTAAAAAAACGGCAAAGAAGATCAGAGGCTAGAGAGATGGCTCAGCAGTTAAGAGAACTTACTGCTCTCTTAGAGAACCTAAGTTAAGTTCCTAGCACCCTTGGGTGGCTCACAACTGCCTGCACCCCCAGCTCCAGGGATCCAATGCATCCAGCCTCACCTGCACTCACGCACACAACCACACACAGGGGCACATAATTAAAAATAATAAAAATAAATCCTACATGGGAGCAGTCCACGTATATGATCCCAGCGCTGGAATGTGAAGACAGACACTGGAGCTCACTGGCCAGCCAAGTCCTGCCTCCTCAGCTAGCCCCAGACCAATGAGACCTTGTCTCAAACCATGACTGCGAGTGTTCTCTGACCTCCACAAGCACAAAAGCATGTGTACGTGCAGGCATGTGCACACACACACATCTGCATACATGCACATGCACACACACGTGAGTAAATAAACAAATCAGTCAAACACTGCGAGCAGACATGAGAACCTTATTACCTTGAAGTAGAGAAGGCCTTTTTAACTATGACTCAAAGTCCAGAAGCCATGTAAAAAAAAATATGATAAATTAGATTCCTAAGAATGAAAGACAACAGAGGCCCAAGAGAGCACAGCACAAATACAGGCACCAAACAGAAGATCTGGACTTGGTGCACACAGCATGCTTTTCTCTCTATCATGCGGGGTGGGGAGGCACTGGCATCCAACAGAGAACCTCAGAACCAGAGAGCACAGAGATGCTGTCCTCACTAGTGCAAAAGGAAGGGAGGGAGGGGGGAAGGGAGGGGGAGGGAAGGAGGAGGGAGGAGAGAAAAGAGATGGGAGGAAGGAGGGGGAGGGAGGGAAGGGGAGGGAGAGGAAGGGGAGCAAGGGAAGGGAAGAGGGAAGGAGGGAAGGTGGAAGGGAAGGGGAGAAGAGAGAGAGGGAAGAGGAAGAAGAGGGAGGGAGAGGGAGGAAGGGAGGGGAGAAGAAAGAGGGAAGGGGAGAGGAAAGAAAGGGGCGGGAGGGGAGAAGAGAGAGAAGAAGGGGGAGGGAGGGGAGGAAGGGGAAAGAAAGAGAGGGAAGAGGGAGGGGGAGGAGAGAAAGGGGGAGGGGGAGAGAGGGAAGAATGGAGGGAAGGGAGAAGAAGGGGAGGAGAGAGGGAAGGAGGGGAGGGAAAGGGAGGGAGGAGGACAGGAAGGGGGAGAGAGGGAAGAAGGGAGGGAGGGGAGAGAAGAAAGAGGAAGGGAAGAAAGGGGAGGGAAGGAAGAGAGGGACAGAAAAATAAGCAGGGGAAAGGGAGAGAACTACTCTGAGACTCGGGCTCCCATGGAACTGGGGACAGGACCATCTCAGAGAGAGGGATTTGTCAACATCTGATAAAATGAGGAACACTTTATCCTCGGCCCCTACCTCCATGCTGCTTCTGGGAATCTAATCTACAGAAATGCTGGTCTAAAAATCAAGGAAGTCACTTGGCATCAAGTGGCATCACAGAAGATGAAGGTCCACCCAAATGCTCGGCAAATAGCTGGCTACACAACAGAACACTGTACTGAAGAAGAAAAAAAAGGAACAGGAACTATAGGCAGGTGTGTGGAAAACTCTAGAATACAGTGTGTCCTTCTGCAGAGAGCCACTAGGGAGAGTACAGATTGTTACATATGTATATAAGGATGCATCTCACAAAAAGACAAAACAAATTCAAAAGCTGCTAAGAAGAAAAATAAAAGCAAATTAACCTTCCTAAAGGTTTACTTGATAATAAAGACACACAGAAAAAACTAATTAATGACACTTTTGCCAAATATTTTGATAAAATGAACTCCCCTTTATGAACTTTTTAAAATTACATTAAGTGTGTGTGTGTGTGTGTGTGTGTGTGTGTGTGTGTGAGCATGTACATATGTGGAGGTCAGAGGGCAGCCTCAGGCGTCAACCTACATCTCCCACCTTGTTTTGAAGCAGGGTCTCTCTGCCTTTTACTTAACCAATGTGCACATACTAGGCTGGCCGGCCCAAGAGCTTCTAGAGTCTCCTATCCGAACCCCTGATCTTCCCACAGAAGTGTTGGAGTTACAGCTTTTATAACCAGCTTTTACACAGGCTCTAGGAGTTCAACTCAGGTCCCCATGCTTGCACTGTGGTTCCTGACTCTTAGCAATTGCCCACGCTTGCGAAGTGATAGCCTATGCTTGCACGGTGATTACTGGACACCTGCCTGGCGACTGATTGCCTTATCCACTAAGCTGTCTCAGTCAGGCCTAGCATTCCAGAGGAGAGGCAGAAGGACTGCAAGCTTTGGGACCAGCCCAAGCAATCTAGTGAGACTATGCCTCAAAATATAACCACCATGATGCTCACGCTAGTACCCTAATTGAACTCAGTGGGTCACATAAAATAGACATGCAAATTGATGGGGGACTGTTTTTTTTTTTCTTCTTCTCACTGACTATATGGGAGGCTTTTTAGGACTAAGAAGCAAGAGCTGGAAGTGGGATAAGAAACAGCAATAGTGAATATACAATGTATAAGAGACAATAAGGAATGTATAATAATGTATAATAAAAGGCAGTAATGGGAATATATAATGTATAATAAGAGACATTAATAGAGAATGAACAAGATCCAAATAGATTATATGAATGTATAAAACCGTCAAGGAATAAATTTGAAATATTTTTTAAAAAACAAAAAATAAGGAATAGAAGCTGGCCAGTGGTGTCAAACACCTTCAATCCCAGCAGATAGATCTCTGAGAGGCCACCCTGGTCTATACAGCAAGTTCCAGGACAGCTAAGGCGACACACAGAGAGCTTTTCTCAAAAAACTGAACTGAGGGCTGGAGAGATGGCTCAGCGATTCAGAGTACTACTTTCTGTTCCAGATCTTCCAAGGGAGCTGATGCCTTCTTCTGGCCTCCGTGGCTATCAGGCACATAGGCAAAACACTCATACATAAAATAAAAATCATCAAACATAGATAAACTAATTTTAATTATTATTTTTCTTATATGTGCATGCAGGCAAAACACCAAAACACATAAAACAATTACATTTTTTTGAAAGTTTAAAACTTTGACAAACCAAAGGGCAATATTAGAAATGGAAAGGGCAAGGCAGACCGTGGGGACATTATTTGTGTTTGAACACTTGGTCCCAGCTGGTGGTGTTGTTTGGGAAGGTTGGAAAGAACTGCTATGGGATGGAGCCTTTCAGGGAGAAGCGGTCACTAGAGGTGGGCCTTGGGGTTTTCTAGCCTGCCCCATTTCCTGTTCACTCTGCTTCCTGAGTGTGGGTGCACTGTGACCAGCCAGTCACCTGCCCCTGCTGCCATGCCTTCCCAACATAACATGGTACCCAGGCAGTATGAGCCAAAATAAGCTCCTTTTCCTGTAAGTTGCCTTTGTCCAGGTCTTCTGTCACAACAGGAACGTATCCTGAACTACAATTCATTAGTTTAGATTCTTGTCTTTTCACATAGGCCTCAAACTCATAATCCTCCTCTCTCAGCCAAGGGCTGGAATTACAGGTATAGGCCACCACACCTGTTTCGATTGTACATGATGAAAGAGTAAATTTTGGAGCAGCAAGATGGTTTAGTGTGGCTTGTCTCCAAGCCCTAAAACTTGACTTTGAATCTTAGGACCCACGTGGTGGAGGGAGAATCAAGTCCTCATGCTGCCCTCTGACCTCCCGTGTGCTATGTCATGCATGTCTGCACAAACACACAGACATACACAATACACTTTTCTTTAAAAAGCACAAAACATCTGACAAGGCTCTGAGTCTCGCCCGTGTCTGCAGCTGTGATAAAAACAGGATGCGGGCTCTGCGTGAACTTGATCTCAGATTTGGCACATTGCCTCAACCCTCAGAACTACAGAAATCTTCTCCCTGCTCTGCCTCAGCGGTGATTTATCTCCACCTGAACTCCAGGACCAGGGTGGGAGGGCCGCTCATTTGGTAAAAGTGCGTGCCTTACAAGTCCTGGGCTCAGTCCTGGACCTGCTACATGGAGCTGGGCCTGGCCATGCAATCTCGTGGTCTCGGTGCTGGGAGACGGAGACAAGCCAGCCCAGTTTTCACTTCACAGTTCTTAGGGCCTGTGGTGAGTCAGAGGATGGTGGTGAGAGCACACAGCAGAAACCAGGAAGTAGAGGAAAAAAACAGGAAGCGGCTGGGGTGACAATATCTCTTTAAGGACACTTCCAATGGTTTAACTTCCTCTGGCTGAACTCTACTTCCTAAGGTGCTGAAGGCTGACAGTCAGTTCTTCAACATAGGTCCCCTCCTGTGGGAGACATTCAAGACTCAAAGCACAGCACCTGACTCTGGGCAGTAGCTCAGTTGGTGGAGTGCTCTCCTCTCACACACAAAGCCCCCTGCATCCCCAGAGCCTCAGAAACCAGGGATGGTGGCACAGCAGGGGGAGGCAGGAGGATCAGAAGTTCAAAGCCATCCTTGGCTACACAGTGAGTTCCAAGGCAGCCTGGGCTACAGGAGACTTTGTCTAAAAAAAAAAAAAAAAAAAAGAAGAAGAAGAAGGAGGAGGAGGAGGAAAGAGAGATAGAAGAGAAGATAAAGAAAAAAGAAAGAAAAGAAAAGAAAGCCGGGTGGCAGTGCACACCTTTAATCCCAGCATTTGGGAGGCAGAGGCAGGTGGCTCTTTGTGAGTTCAAGGCCAGCCTGGTCTACAAAATGAGTTCCAGGACAGCCAGGGCTGGTTGCACAGAGAAAACCTATCTCAAAAAAACCAAAACAAACAAACAAACAAGTTCCCAGAACCCACACTGGGCAACTACCTATAACTTCAGGACATTTGACACCCTCTTCTGGCCTCTTAAGGCAACCACACACCTCTACACCCCCACCCTCACACATACACATACTTTAGAAGAATAAAAGATGCAAGCCTTAGCACCTACAAAGAGATCTCTCTCTTCCCTCGCTCCTGTCACAAAGAAAGCCCACGTAACACTGGCAATACAGTGCACAAAGAGACGCCTTCTGTTTGGACTACAGCTAAAACCACCACCCCACCAGCAACTCTTCCTGAAGCTGTTGGAAACCTCCATGGACAAGTGAGGAGGAGGACACAGAACACAGCTGAAGCGGACACACGAGCACACGGCAGCACAGCCACTTGGGGAAGGTGTGCTGGCATCTCTTACCTCGTCGTACATGAACTGAAGCGTCAGGGCTGACTTGCCGACCCCTCCACTGCCAACCATGATGACTTTGTGAAGAGCCAGGGAGCCCTGGCTCTTGGCCTTGTTGGCAGCCATCCTGCTGGTCTGGGGTGGTGACACACGGACAGATGGCCCAGATGAGAGCTACAGGTGAAAGAGACAGGAACTTAAAGATGGTGTGCACTCTACCCAGCTGAAATCAAATGACATCTGCCATTCATTCCTACACTTTAAATCTTTTATTTTTATTTTAAATGATGGGGGGGAGGGGTGTGCACAGGACTGCAGTACCCTCAGAGACCAGAAGAGGGTATCAGTCCTCTGGGGCTCTTGTTAGGGGGCAGAAGTCAGTCCTCTTAGCTCCAAGCCATTCCTCCAGCCTGCCCCAGCACTTTAAAAACACTTAACCATTTCCGACAGAGAAGGGCCTGGAGAGGAGGGCCGCGGAAGTCACTGGCCCCGGGAGCCAGGACAGGGCAATGGTGAGAAAGGAGAAGTGCAGGAGAGTACCTAGAGCCTGCACCCCTGGGGAGGGTGGCCTGGGCTCCTGCCTTTACTCCTAGCACTCAGCATGCAGAGCCCCTTGCAGCCTCAGCACTGGAACTGGGCTTAGTGCCCTGGTAGTCTAGCCGACTGTGTGGAATTCCAGGCCAATGAGAGACTCTGCCCACAAGGAGAAGGCACCTGAAGAAAGACACTCAAGGCTGTCTCCTGACCTCCATGTGCACAACACCCACCTCCCCATCTCCCCCTCCCCATCTCCCCCTCCCCATCTCCCCCTCCCCATCTCCCCCCCATCTCCCACTTCCCCACCTCACCATCTCCCCATCACACGCACAAATTTTAAAATGACAACAGCTTTCAGAGGTGAAGTAGGTGAACTGCTCAAGCTCCTATTTCCAAAGACTCCCAAGTCAAATAGGTGCTCTGGGGACAGTTTGGGGACTTCAATCTCCAGTTCTTTATTCTCACTTCTCTTCTTCTCCGTGTGCCTCTACTCCCTACTACCACCACTAACACATGCATGCACATGCCACATGCATATGTGTATGCACACCATGACCATGCAGTACATACATACACACCATGACCATGCAGTACATGCACACCATGACCATGCAGTACATGCACACCATGACCATGCAGTACATGCACACCATGACCATGCAGTACATGCACACCATGACCATGCAGTACATGCACACCATGACCATGCAGTACATGCACACCATGACCATGCAGTACATGCACACCATGACCATGCAGTACATGCACACCATGACCATGCAGTACATGCACACCATGACCATGCAGTACATGCACACCATGACCATGCAGTACATGCACACCATGACCATGCAGTACATGCACACCATGACCATGCAGTACATGCACACCATGACCATGCAGTACATGCACACCATGACCATGCAGTACATGCACACCATGACCATGCAGTACATGCACACCATGACCATGCAGTACATGCACACCATGACCATGCAGTACATGCACACCATGACCATGCAGTACATGCACACCATGACCATGCAGTACATGCACACCATGACCATGCAGTACATGCACACCATGACCATGCAGTACATACACACCATGACCATGCAGTACATGCACACCATGACCATGCAGTACATACACACCATGACCATGCAGTACATGCACACCATGACCATGCAGTACATACACACCATGACCATGCAGTACATGCACACCATGACCATGCAGTACATACACACCATGACCATGCAGTACATACACACCATGACCATGCAGTACATGCACACCATGACCATGCAGTACATACACACCATGACCATGCAGTACATGCACACCATGACCATGCAGTACATACACACCATGACCATGCAGTACATGCACACCATGACCATGCAGTACATACACACCATGACCATGCAGTACATGCACACCATGACCATGCAGTACATACACACCATGACCATGCAGTACATGCACACCATGACCATGCAGTACATACACACCATGACCATGCAGTACATGCACACCATGACCATGCAGTACATACACACCATGACCATGCAGTACATGCACACCATGACCATGCAGTACATACACACCATGACCATGCAGTACATGCACACCATGACCATGCAGTACATACACACCATGACCATGCAGTACATGCACACCATGACCATGCAGTACATACACACCATGACCATGCAGTACATGCACACCATGACCATGCAGTACATGCACACCATGACCATGCAGTACATACACACCATGACCATGCAGTACATGCACACCATGACCATGCAGTACATACACACCATGACCATGCAGTACATGCACACCATGACCATGCAGTACATGCACACCATGACCATGCAGTACATGCACACCATGACCATGCAGTACATGCACACCATGACCATGCAGTACATGCACACCATGACCATGCAGTACATGCACACCATGACCATGCAGTACATACACACCATGACCATGCAGTACATACACACCATGACCATGCAGTACATGCACACCATGACCATGCAGTACATACACACCATGACCATGCAGTACATACACACCATGACCATGCAGTACATGCACACCATGACCATGCAGTACATACACACCATGACCATGCAGTACATACACACCATGACCATGCAGTACATGCACACCATGACCATGCAGTACATACACACCATGACCATGCAGTACATACACACCATGACCATGCAGTACATGCACACCATGACCATGCAGTACATACACACCATGACCATGCAGTACATACACACCATGACCATGCAGTACATGCACACCATGACCATGCAGTACATGCACACCATGACCATGCAGTACATACACACCATGACCATGCAGTACATGCACACCATGACCATGCAGTACATGCACACCATGACCATGCAGTACATGCACACCATGACCATGCAGTACATGCACACCATGACCATGCAGTACATGCACACCATGACCATGCAGTACATGCACACCATGACCATGCAGTACATGCACACCATGACCATGCAGTACATGCACACCATGACCATGCAGTACATGCACACCATGACCATGCAGTACATGCACACCATGACCATGCAGTACATACACACCATGACCATGCAGTACATACACACCATGACCATGCAGTACATACACACCATGACCATGCAGTACATACACACCATGACCATGCAGTACATACACACCATGACCATGCAGTACATACACACCATGACCATGCAGTACATACACACCATGACCATGCAGTACATGCACACCATGACCATGCAGTACATACACACCATGACCATGCAGTACATGCACACCATGACCATGCAGTACATGCACACCATGACCATGCAGTACATGCACACCATGACCATGCAGTACATGCACACCATGACCATGCAGTACATGCACACCATGACCATGCAGTACATGCACACCATGACCATGCAGTACATGCACACCATGACCATGCAGTACATGCACACCATGACCATGCAGTACATGCACACCATGACCATGCAGTACATGCACACCATGACCATGCAGTACATGCACACCATGACCATGCAGTACATGCACACCATGACCATGCAGTACATGCACACCATGACCATGCAGTACATGCACACCATGACCATGCAGTACATGCACACCATGACCATGCAGTACATGCACACCATGACCATGCAGTACATACACACCATGACCATGCAGTACATGCACACCATGACCATGCAGTACATACACACCATGACCATGCAGTACATGCACACCATGACCATGCAGTACATACACACCATGACCATGCAGTACATACACACCATGACCATGCAGTACATGCACACCATGACCATGCAGTACATGCACACCATGACCATGCAGTACATGCACACCATGACCATGCAGTACATGCACACCATGACCATGCAGTACATGCACACCATGACCATGCAGTACATGCACACCATGACCATGCAGTACATGCACACCATGACCATGCAGTACATGCACACCATGACCATGCAGTACATGCACACCATGACCATGCAGTACATGCACACCATGACCATGCAGTACATGCACACCATGACCATGCAGTACATGCACACCATGACCATGCAGTACATGCACACCATGACCATGCAGTACATGCACACCATGACCATGCAGTACATGCACACCATGACCATGCAGTACATGCACACCATGACCATGCAGTACATGCACACCATGACCATGCAGTACATGCACACCATGACCATGCAGTACATGCACACCATGACCATGCAGTACATACACACCATGACCATGCAGTACATGCACACCATGACCATGCAGTACATGCACACCATGACCATGCAGTACATGCACACCATGACCATGCAGTACATACACACCATGACCATGCAGTACATACACACCATGACCATGCAGTACATGCACACCATGACCATGCAGTACATGCACACCATGACCATGCAGTACATGCACACCATGACCATGCAGTACATGCACACCATGACCATGCAGTACATGCACACCATGACCATGCAGTACATGCACACCATGACCATGCAGTACATGCACACCATGACCATGCAGTACATGCACACCATGACCATGCAGTACATGCACACCATGACCATGCAGTACATGCACACCATGACCATGCAGTACATGCACACCATGACCATGCAGTACATGCACACCATGACCATGCAGTACATGCACACCATGACCATGCAGTACATGCACACCATGACCATGCAGTACATGCACACCATGACCATGCAGTACATGCACACCATGACCATGCAGTACATGCACACCATGACCATGCAGTACATGCACACCATGACCATGCAGTACATGCACACCATGACCATGCAGTACATGCACACCATGACCATGCAGTACATGCACACCATGACCATGCAGTACATACACACCATGACCATGCAGTACATGCACACCATGACCATGCAGTACATGCACACCATGACCATGCAGTACATGCACACCATGACCATGCAGTACATGCACACCATGACCATGCAGTACATACACACCATGACCATGCAGTACATACACACCAT